AATTAGATATTCATTTAAATATTTCTTTTTGAAGAAAGTACGCAGTAGTCAATTCCATAGTTACCAGGAGTGGGAGCGGCTCCTGTTTCGGGAGCAAGAGCATCGGATCAATGGCTGTCCGAAGCTTTGGAGCTCGAGGAGCGAGTTCCGGTGAGGGTAGAAGTTACGGATCTCTATCCCATTTGAGCAAGAAGCGAGATCCCGATACATTGGGATCGAGATCCTGTTTGATTAGGAAGCGAGATCCCGTTTGAATAGGGAGCGAGATCTTGATACATTGGGATCGAGATCCCTATTTGACAGGAACGCATTACATGTAACATGGGATCGCGCTCCCATCGACAACAAGAATGAGATCCTATTTAATGTTGAGTCTCGCCCCCATCTAAATAATACCATGATCCTATTTGGCTAGGATCCAGCACCATTCATTATAGGATCATGTTCTGCACAATGGTAGTCTATGCCCCCATCATAGAACTCCACTTGTATGAAGAACCCAATTCCATTACACATGGATTCGTGCACCAATTAAGCACGGCAGCCCGTTCCCATACAAATGTGATCTCAATTTCGTTAAATTTGGAAACCATTTTATCTATCAATGGCCCATGCAGCTAGATCCATGCACAACTTAGATGTCCATGGATTAATTAAATCCCATAAATCTAGTATGAAATAAAGCCTTTTAATGCTATGAACGATTAATGTTAGTATTGTTCAGACTTGCATACATCATACGAAAATGAGCTTTACGTTGGCATTTGTATACATGGAAATATATTGTCTAGGATTTATGTACTATTTGGAAGCAACCTAAGCATATATGGTTACTGTTAGGCTTAAATTTGGGAAATGCATCACCGTTATTTTTGGGAGAAATAATTATATGAAAATTTTACTAAAAATATTAAATATATGTTATTTTTATTTAAGAAGTTTCTTCTAGAAAGCTATAAATGGTAAAATAAATTTATTCAAATTTCAAAAAAATTATTGTCATAGAAATAAAGGTTATTTTAAAAGATATATATATATATATATATATATAATATAAATCCAACTTTGGGAACTCATTTGAGAATTATATAGTATTTTTTGAAATCAAAGATATAGGAAAAGGTTTATATAAGGTTACAACCATAAAATGTAGAACTACGGATGCACCCAAAAATCCATCGGAAAAGGTTGTTTTAATGTTGAAAAAGTCTGTAATTGATCATCTCGACATCAAGATGTATGAGAGTCTGATAAAAATAAAAAAATTTGAGTGCTAGAAATTATGCATCTTGCAACATATTATCTACACCGTCCATTTTAAGAATTTTTATATGTTTATAGATCTATATGATTTTAGCCATTTTTGAAGTTTAAAAGTATTTAATTAGATATGAAAATAGATTTTCAGATAATCCTAAGAATTTTTTACGCCAAAATTACATGACATCATAAAATATGGTGGTGCGTCTTAATTGGATTGTTTAAGGTTGCAACCTTGTGATAAAATTTAGAGGTGCACCTTAATTGGATTGTTTAAGGTTGTAATTTGTAACCTTATAGAAACCACACCCCTATACAAAAGTAAGCCTTTTTTTTTTTTGGAATTACTATAGGCACAATTAAATGCCTATTGCAGGTATGAATCATCGACTACAATGAACAAATAAATAGACATGGAGTTAATGTCTGAGTTCCTAGGGGTCACAATCCGGGATTTCATAAATTGAGAACCTTACACTTTCGGTATCGGGATCCACTTTCCTTGTGAGAGAGCTCCATAGATTATAGGATTGGGTTAAAACCTTGTTAGGTTAGGAGCTAGTTTCGAGAACGTCGAGATCGGGATCACGATCTAAAAATTCTGGGAGCGGGGATCTAATTTGTTCAGGAACCACATCTACAATGTTACAGCACGCGTTCCGTGAGACAATGCGACTGCGATCCGTGAAGTAGAGAAATCCGTTGTGTAGGGAGAAAAATCCATTGTGTATGGGATCGAGATCCGTGCTTTAGTGGGAGCAAGATCCGTTGTGAATGGGAGCGAGATCCCTGAAGTAGAGGGACTCACTGAAGTATCGGGAGCGAGCTCCGTTGTGAATAGGATCGAGAATCCTAAAATTGGAGCAAGATTCCAAAGAGATAGGAATGGGTTCTGAGTGAGATCCCGGCTCCGAAACGCCGGAGCGAGATTCCGGAGCTAGGGTGACGCCCCTGGTAACGATGATCAATTCATTAAGGTAATAAAATTACAAGAAAAAGAACAGTACAAGAAAAAGAACAGAAAAGTTAACAAAGAAAGAAATAAAAAATCTACAAATCAAGGAGCCAAACCCTGGGCTTGGGCTTGACGATTAGCTTGAAAGTTAAAACCTCTCACTTCACGGGACTCCAACGCCATAGTTCAGCTGATTGTACAATGTGCTGAATCTCCTTCAACAATCACTTTGAGGTGGTCTGGACCAAGACGGTCCACACCTATTTAAGTGGCCATTGCTCCGCCTCATTAATCTTGCATGCATGGAACCTCTCATGATAAGACAAAATAGTTGAACCATGGTTATCACTTAGAAACCCACTTTAACTGCTGACATTAGAGCAAACACTTCCATCAAAGTTGAGTGTGACCCAACCATCCGGAGGTCTCAACTAGCAACAATTGAGGTGCAAACGAGGTTTCTTACAAAATAGAAGTTCGCGTAGGTTAGTAAAGAACAGATCTTTGGGGAATGGCAGCACCAGAAGAGACGCAAAAGACCACATGATAATCGATCTCTTAATAGAATAAACAAGGGAAGAGAGATCTTTGGTGTGACCCTTGAACGTCCTCAAATTTCTCTTTCCACAGATGCCAAAGCGAAACAACAACTACAATTCTCCACAGGCTGATACCCAAGGAATAGAAAGGAGGGGTCCAAATTTGTTGCATCAGCTCGGAGATACCCTCGGGGTGGGGGGTCAACCAACAGGAAATACAGCTCAACCAAATCCCAAATCCTCTCCGCACAAGGACATGCAGGAAGAGATGGTCAATGGTTTCCTCCACGTTCTTACAAAACAAACCGACCCTCGGAAGGAGCATCCCCTACCTTCTCGGCCTGTGAGCAGCCGTTTATAGCAAAGCAGCAACAAATAGGATTTCACCCTACTTGGTGTTTTGCATCTCCAGAATTTGCAAGGTGATTGTGACTTTGAAAGTAATGATCCCTAAAAAGCATCGCATACAGAGAGCTCATAAAGAAGGAGCCTCCCTGTTCCGAAGACCAAACAATCCTATTAGGATTCCTGGGCAGGTAACAGAAATTTTACAAGGAAGACAACAATGACGTATATTGGTCCACCACCCAATGATTCGCTCTGCTCATATTAAGCAAAAAATTCCGCAACAGTAGTCCCCCCTCCAGAGAAATGAAACTCGAGACCCTCTCCTGTTTATGAATTGATTTGGAGTATACCTCAGGGGTATATTAGTTTCAAAGGATATTCTCTAAACTAATTGTCATGCCAAAACCGAGTCTCTTCCATCACCGACTAGCATCCTAGTATAAGACAAAAATAGGTTTAGACCTCATTAATACCTTGCCAGATTGGGGAAAGAGAAGCAATCCTTGAACATCGTTTAGTAATGAAGCCATTAGGATCGCTTCCATACTTGCTAAATATAACTTGAACCCAAACCTGATCCTGTTGAGTGGAGAGTCAACGTCAAAAGGGAAAAATCGGGCAAAATTTATAGCTTAAATTTCTTTATCTTGATCTCCAAATCAAGAAAATCTTCCATACAGATATGATATATGATATAATATGATAAAGGGTACCAAAACATTTATTGAAAAGCAAGACAGAAATTTAAAAACTAGTGTGTTAGGCAAAGAAGAAAAAGCCAAATTTTGTTACTTTGATTTCTTCTCTTTGTATATTTTTCCACAAGCTCTCTATGCATATTCGATAGGGGCTAACCAACCTTGGCTCTGTTGGGTCCGGTCCGGGCCGTACTTCATAATGGCAACCATGAGATTTGTACATGATACTGTTTTTGAAAAAACCCCGAAGACTAGAGTTTCTATGCAAGTTACCCCCAACCAAACTTTTTTATCACTTTTTACTTCAAAATATACTTTCTCAGCAAATACCCTCGACCCAAATAAAAAATAAAAAATGGTCTAAACTACCCTCTCTTACTTCTATGTACACTTCTCTCTCCTCTTTCCCACAAAAACGCGGTCTCACTTATTCTTAGAGCAATCCAACAGTGTAATGTCAGTACAATAAATAACAGTGGTAGTCCGACTGTATAAGTGGCGGTCCAGCACTGACAAAGAACGAATCGACAAAAGGCCCATGCAGTCCGGTACTACCAAAGAGCGATCTGACAATAGGCCCATGCGGTCAGGCAACAGCCAAAGCAAGGTCCGATAATATCAAAGGGCGGTCCAGTACTTTTTTAAGTTTAATAGGGTCTAGCAATGTCAAAGAGCGGTTTGGCAGCCGATGTAGCTCACATAAATGTCGTACTAAAATTAAATTTTTATGTACGAAAAAAGGAATTTTTGTCTAAAAATATACTTTTTTTTAGCAAGAGATATTCGCTAGAAAAGTGTATTTTCTAGAAAAAAAGTTAGAAAAAAGTTTGGCTGGTGGTACTCTAGTCTGGGGGTTTATTTGTAATTTTCCCCACTTTTTTCCTCCTTCAATGCTTATTTTTCTCTTTTGCTGAGTAGCTTAACGTGATTGAGTTGTGTCGCAGAGGAAGAGGGAACCCAAAGCTTCTTAAATACGACAATGTGAAAGTATTGACACGGTGGAATGTGCTGGCATTTCAGGGTTGAGTTTCCTTTTTCGCAGGTTGACTTCCCCTACAAACTTGGGCATCCGTCGAACGTGCACACAACTCCGATCATGAAGACCGGGTCCTCCATTTTAAGGCTCAACTTCCCGTGGCCTGTTAAGAAAAGAAAGAGGGGAAAGTAAGGGCTGAGAAAGATGCAGAGAAGAGGTTAGGGGAAATAGGTTTTTTGTTAGGGCTTGGCAGGGGCAGGCGCAGGCGCAGGCGCAGGTGGAGCCATGCCCAGCAAGCTGAAGAGAGCGCTGGGCGCCGTCAAGGACCAGACCAGCATCGGCCTTGCCAAGGTCTCAAGCGGTAGCAACCGCTCGAACCTTGACGTCGCCGTGCTCAAGGCCACCACCCATGAGGAGGTCCCCATCGAAGACCGATACATCAACGAGATCCTCCTCCTGACGTCCTCATCACGCCCACGCACTGCTGCCTGCATCCACCTATTGTCTCGTCGGATCAGCCGCACACGGAGCTGGGTGGTTGCGCTCAAGTCCCTCACCCTCATCCTCAACCTCTTCCAGAGAGGCCACCCCTCGTTCCCTAGAGAGGTCCTGACTGCGATGAACCGTGGCTCCAGACTACTGAACCTCTCGAATTTTTGCGATGGATCGCACTCTAGCCCTTGGGATTTCACGGCATTTGTCCGTACATTTGCTTTGTACCTCGACGAGCATCTCGAGTGCTCGCTGATGGGCAAGCTTCGCTCCACGTCGAAACGGCGCAGAGCAGCAGAGATGAATCCTGGCGACATCCTCGACAGGCTGCCGTACTGGCAGCGCCTCCTCAACCGGGTGCTTGCCACTAGGCCGACTGGCCCAGCCAAGAACAACCGCTTGGTCCAAATCTCATTGTACACTCTAGTCACCGAGAGCTTCGAGTTGTACAAAGACATATCCGACGGACTAGCGGTCCTTCTGGACGGTTTCTTCCAGCTGCGGCCACAGGCATGCACCGAGGCCTTCGACACCTGTGTCCGTGCATCAAAACAGTTCGACGAGCTTAATAGGTTCTATGCATTGTGCAAGGGCGTGGGGGTGGGCCGCATTTCAGAGTTCCCACCTGTCCAACGCATCTCTCGTAAACTCTTGGAGACGCTGGATGAGTTCCTCAAAGACCGCCATGCCTCCCTGCAAAAACTTAGCCCTTTGCCACCCCTAACACCTCCACCTCCACCTACACCCACACCCAGGCCCAGGCCCAGGCCCACCTCTGACGGTGGAGAGCTTAAGCCCAGCTGCAGTGAATCGCTGGTTCAAGAGCCCAGCTGCAGTGAATCACGAACACAAGATTTTGACATGAGCAGAGATAAATGGGATATCCCTCTCGGCGACTCCAAGGATAGCAGAGAGGGGTGGGAGTTGGCATTGCCGGCACAAGATATTTGCATGAGAGGAGATAAATCGGACCTCGCTCGTTGTGACTCCCAGGATTGCAGAGAGGGGTGGGAGTTGGCATTATTGGAGAGCTCTTTGCAGATGGCAAAGCAGGTGACCTACACTTTGGCTGAAGGGTTCGAATCGGTGCTAAACCTGCATTGCTACAACAACAACCCATTCATGCAGGTAGATGCACAGGGTGCCTCTGATTCCATAATTACAGTGCTACCGGTGCCACCCACATTCCGCTCAACGCAGTGTGAAAGGCCTTCATTCATGGAGGATGACCTGTTTTCGACTCGGAGCTCGACTTCGTTTTCGGATCCGATGCAACAGATGTCCAAACAACAGCTAATGCTTTATGAGCAGAGGCTGTGGATGCAACACCAAAGTAGTATTATAAGCGCAACACCAGAGTAGTATTATAAGCAGACATGATGTATGTTTTTAGTAGTATTTTCATGATTTTCTTTTCCTTCTCCTTTCTTGGTTTTTGAGGTTTAGGTGTTTGGGAATCAAAGGGAATTCATGTATTTAGTATTATTTTCATGATTTTCTTTTCCTTCTCCTTTCTTGGTTTTTGAGGTTTAGGTGTTTGGGAATCAAAGGGAATTCATGTCTATTATGAAAGTGGAAGTTTTAGTTTTTTTCATTCACATGGAAATCCCCCTTGTTTCACTTTTTCGTTTTCTATTTTTTGGGTCTTGTATATGTATATTAGTGTCGTCGTTAGCGAAAACATCCCCATTTTTCTCCCCATCTCTCCAAAAAATGGAAAATGAAACGATTTTTCTGTTTTTTGATATGAGAAATGATCATAGAGGATCCTCTCCCATCCATGCGTGTAGGACTTCCAACAGATCACCATTAAAGTTTTGTAGGACTCCCAAAAAATCACCATTAAAAGTTGGTACGGATGCGTGTAGAACTCCCAAAATATCACCATTAAAGTTGGTACGTATATCTAGAAAAGTCAAGTCTCACACTTATGTGATAGCTTTTTTAGAAATTTGTGTCAAATTTAATGTTGATCCTTTGGGGTCCTACAATCATTGGTAGGGGAGGGTCCTATAGGATCATTACTCTTTTGTTATTTATGTTGATCCACTTTTCCGTCCAACAAGTACACCAAAGTAAATGGTTGTTTTTTTTCAAAAAAAAAAATCTAGAGCTTGTGCTGACTAGATCCGATTTGTGTCAAATTTAATTGTGATCAATGAGCTGAGTCTCTGGTTGTGCATTTAGAAATATAAAGTAAAAGCTTCTTAAAGATAGTCATTGTTCAACAATATATTCAACATAAAGAGGAATTTTTTGGGTAAAATTTTAAAGGTAAATATCTTGATACCCTCTAATTTTGCCCCTTCTTAGGAAATATAAAGATTTAGATTATTTCTGATTGTATAAAGTCTCTATGTTTTTTATCTTCCAACACTTTATATCCCTTTGACCATGTAATCTTGTCCTAAACAATTTAGGGAATGACTCCCTTTCATTCAAAACTAAAACCATGTTAATCCTCTAACCTATGTTGTCTCTCTCTCAAAACTCAGTCTCTCTCTCTAATACCCCAATCTAAGATCCCACCCTCCCCATCCTCTCTCTCTTTATCAGAACTCAGTCTCTCTCTCAAATACCCAAATTACAGAGCCCACCTTCCCAATCGTCTCTCTTCTCTCTATGAACTCTCTCTCTCTCTGTCTCTCTCTCTCTCTCTCACTCAAATACCGAAATCACATAGCACATTTGATTTCAAAATCTCAAATTTAGAGAGTACACTTTTTGAGGGAGAGAGAGATCTCTATATTTTCAATAATTAAAGCATTTTGAGCCCTTCCGTTTCAAAGAGTCAAGCTTTATTGCATAACGAATTGGTGCATTCATATTTTTACAGAAAGAATTGATGCTTTCCACCCTTGATTTAGAGCATGGGCCTTTTGTTGTCACTTTGCTCTGAAAATTAGGGTTTTTAGAGTTACTTATTTGGGTTGTTTGGGATGCACGAGAGTGGAGGTGAAAATTAGGGTTTTTAGAGTTACTTATTTGGGTTGTTTGGGATGCACGAGAGTGGAGGTGAAGGAGTTGCAAGAAAAAGAGTCAAGGTCAATATGGAGGAGAAGGAGAGAGCAGTGTTTAGGTGGGGCTATCTTCCTAGTACTTCTCTACAAAGAGCCCCTCTGCTTCTTTCAACTTCCAACTCCGATAGCTAAACCTACGCTAGAGGATTCATGGAAAGAAGTGGGTTTGCCAAGGCTATTTCAAGTTTTTACATTTGTTTCATGCTTTTTATTTGTTCCTTTTGTTTGCCATTTTTTTACCCTATTTCTATAGTTAAATTCACTAGAATCATTTATCTTGGGTGAAAAATTCAGTTCATTTTTAATATTATTTTTTTTAGTAGTTCATTTATATTGTATTTCACATTTTTCTACACATTCTCCTGGATTTTCTATGAATTCTCAGCATCTCTAGATGTTTGACTTCTCTGTTTATTTTTTCTCCAAGTTACTAAAAAAGTTTTTCCTTACATAATCCAATGGTGTTCTGTTTTTTTGGCTTTTATAACATTACATAATTCAATGGTGTTTTGTTTTTTTGGCTTTTATAACATCACATAATCCAATGGTGTTTTGTTTTTTTGGCTTTTATAACATTACATAATCCAATGGTGTTTTGTTTTTTTGGCTTTTATAACATTACCTAGTTGTTTCATAGTTTATTAGTATAGGTTTAGATTTCATCCATCAAATAACAAATTTACATTTGAATCCATGATTTACATCAATTTTTTATGGAACACAACACAATTGTGTGATATCTTCAGCTGCATTTGAGCTTTTAGTGGGTTAATTACCTTTCCTTATCTTAGAGAGAGAGAGGGAAGAGAGATACAATGGAGAGGGTGGGCTCTGTGATTTGGGTATTTGAGAGACCGCATAGGTTAAGGGGTTAACCGGGTATTAGTTTTTGAATGAAAGGGCGTCATTCTCTAAATTGTTTAGCACCAGAATACATGGTCAAAGAGGTCTAGGGGGTTGGAAGATTGATTCTATGCAGTAAGAAAGAATCTAAATCCTTTGATCTCTTAAAAAATGGGTGGCAAAAATAGAGGGTATGGAGATATTTACCCCATAGTTCGAGATATTAAACATCATACCGCTCCAAAATATCAAGAAAAACTAAAAATAATAAAAAATTAAACATTTCAATGTTTGGAACATCGAACAAGGAGAAAATTTGGAAAAAAAAAAAAAGTGACGGGAATTAGGACCTTGTGGTAAAATTATCAAACTTATAGATCAAAAGGTAAAGACAATAGTTTTACCTAATCTTTACATTAAAATCCCTTTTAAGTTTCCCGAACTCGTCTATGATGTTTTTAAAACTCACCTTTCCAAAAATTTAAAAATAATATGATTGGATTTGCTTCAAACTCATATTTCTAATATTTTAAAACGAGAAATTTATAAAAATACCTATAAGAATGAACTACTTAACAATTTACACTTTTGAGACTATTCCAACTAAAGAGCCGTAAATAATCAAATTAAGGTGGACCTGAAAAATTCACCAAAAGAGGTTGTTTTGACACTCAAATATCCTCAAATCGATCATCTCGACTACAAGATGTATGGATTTTGAGTCTTGAAAATAATGCATCTTGTAATACATTTTTTAGACCGTCAATTTTTAAGATTTTCAAGTGTATATAGATTTGCTTGATCTACACTATCTTTAAAGCTTTAAATTTTATAATTAGAGATAAGAATAAATTTTCAGTCAATCATAAAAATTTTAAGCACTGAAACAACATCTTTTGACTCTTTTTTAAGGTGTGCCTTACTTTGATTGTTCGGGGCCTCAGCCTTATGCAAACCACACCTTTTTATGAGATTGTTAATCTTTCACAGGTAATTTGATAAATTCACCTGGATTAAGTTTTAATTACTTCACTTAGGAGGCTCCGTTTTGGCTGTAAGTGAGTGAAGTTTATAACATTGTTCTCCCTTGGGTACGTTGTTTACCTCATTTTGAACGCACAGTCAAGAACCTAGAAACATGCAGGCTAGTTCTCCATCTATGTGGTCATCTTTAGCATGGCATATGGGAAGTAGGGCAAAAAAAAAAAGTCGAAAAAGACTCAACGAGTTATTCCACTTATGTGGTCGTGTCGGGTGTGGCATGTCGAAGATGCAGGTGTCATATGCATGTATATATACTTGTGCAGACGGTTTAAGAAAATAGATCGGCAACCTGGATCGTCCACCCAAAATACCGTATCGGATCAGTGGATTGACATGTTGGATTGGAGAATTGGCTGAATTAGAAAGTTTTGTCCCAAAGTTTTTTCAAAACATGACTATAAATATCTAAAAATAGTTTTTTTTTAGTTTTTAAAAGTGGTGCATTATGTGCTTTTATTATTTTGTAAAAATAGGTGAATATTGATATGTTTTTCTGTCTGGATGTTTGTATAATTATTAATTATATATAATATTATAATATCATCAAAATATTTTAAAAATATTAGAAAAAACTTCTATATTTTAAGATTAAAAATAATAATTTCCTATATAAAGTGAAAATTAATATTACATCAAAGTATCTAATATTTATTAATTAGCTGTACTCATTCAAAATTATCATAACTTAACTAACGATAATACTATATATTGAAATTGAAATTGTTGGTTTATATTTTATAATTATTTTACTACATAAATAAGAACAAATCTAAAAGGGTGAGGTTTATATAGAGCCGAGGCTCTAAACAATCAAAGTAAAGCGCACTTTCAAATAGCGTCGAGAAATGTTGTTTCAATACTGGAAATCTGGAGAAAAGTGGTTTCAATACTGGAAATCTTTGTGATAGCCTTAAAATATATTTTCATATTTAATTATAAAATTTAAACCTTTAAAAATAGTGTAGATCAAATAGATCTATGAAAATTTGAAAATCTTGAAAATTGAGGGTCCGAAAATGCATTACAAGATGGACTATTTCTAAAACTTAAAAATCTATTTTTTTGTCATGTCCATGTATCTTGATATCAAGATGATCAATTTGAAGATATTTGAGCATCAAAACAACCCTTCTAATGAAATGTCTTATAATATCATCTAATTTAAAAAATATTATTTACAACTATAAGAAAAATAATACAGTACATAATTTATAATATAAATAAATTAATATATAAAATATAGGTTATGGTTTCTATAAGGTTGCAGCTCCAATTTTATCATTACATGTAATTTTGGTAAAAAAGTTCTTAGGATTATCTCAAAATCTATTTTTATATCTAATTATAAAATTTTATACTCCAAAAATAGTTAAAATCAAGTAGATCTATAAACATATGAAAATCTTGAAAATGGACAGTCTAGATAATGTATTGCAAGATGCACTATTTATGAGACTTCAAATCTTTTTTTTGCTTTTTTTTTCATATTCATACCTCTCGATACCGAGATGATCAATTAGAGGCTTTTTCAAAAGTAAAACAATCTTTTTCCGATGGATTTTTGATGTGCATCTATAATTCTACATTTTAAGATTGTATTCTTTTTCCTGAAATATAAGATTTGTTTATCAATGTATAATTATTGATTATAATATTAAAATAAATATAATTAAAAAATTATTAGAAAATGA